ATTTTTCAAGAAAAAAATGAGTTTTTAAAGTTTCAAATGGTCTTCATGGTTCTTCATGTATTCTCAAGGATGTTCGTGCCAAGTTTCAAACCTCCCATTGCAATTTTTCCCAGTCAATGGTTTAAATGATTGAAAATTAACTACATTGACCCAAAAGTCGACCTTCTCAAGATCAAGTTCAAACAATTGCAATTTCTTCATTATTCAGTATTTTGAGTGGTTCTTTTTGCGTATGACTCTCCTTGATGTCATCTCCAAATTCTCTTTACAAGTCAAGAGCCGATTATGTGCAAAAGATCATCAACAATTCAAATACTTTAGAGGACTATGATCCTCATGTTGAGATCATTCATGGGACAAGATGTTGAGTTCGGAGATTCATATTGAGTTCGGACAAGATTTTTCTTGTAATACAATTCACCATGTTAGAAATTGGTTTAGGATGATTTGATGATTCATTTGAATAATGTCTTTGATTTCAATTCAAGTTAGCAAAGCATTACGCGATATCAAAAGTTTCATCCAAATTTTCTATGGTTCATTCGCACAAATCATTTTGAATTCAAGGTTTCAAAAGCATTCATCATTTCTCAAGATTCATTCAAAGAGATTCTTTTGATTCAAATTTGTCAAAGTGAACCCATATTTCAAGGTTGGAATATTGTGCATCAAGAGGATTATTGGGGAGTTGAGATTGAAATATAGCATGAAAGTTTATCAAATGCATTGTGTAAGTAACAAGTTTTGATTCAAGTTCTTAAGGTCATGATTTTATTAATATTTGATTCAAGGTTAAAAAGATTCATTCATGTGATTCCTTGATATATAAAGTACAAATGAACAAAGGAATATATTTGTCAAGATACAAGTATCAAAGATACATTCATTCAAGTTTTACCCATGCTTCATTCATGAGAAGTTTCATTCAAGGGTTATATCACTCATCATGGTTTAAGATTACCCATTTCAAGATCATCCAACATATTCATGCTAAAGTCATCAAAATTTCATGCAAAGTCTTTAAAATTTATCAAAGATACATTCATGGCAAGTTTTATCCATCAAGTTCTATCAAGTATTCATCCAAATGTTAAGTAATTTACAAGAATCATTCACCACTTCAAGATATTACAAGAAAATTATACAAGTTTATGAAATCCATGTCCTAAACCTATGTTACATTCATAAAAAATCTTTCCATAAAATAACAAAACTTGTGGCCCATAAAACCAGTCCAAAATCAGTCCCCAAATCAGCCTGTTGTCCAAGGCCCTGCATCAGTCCAACCTTGTCCACATTGCTGCCCATAACACTCCAAAAACCTGCTACAAAACAGCAAAACCAGTCCAAAACCTTGTGCCACTTCTGCCCATATAACTTTCAAAAGCAGGCTGCATTAGCTGCTAAAAAACCAGTATAAAGCAGCCCAAAAACATGCTGCAAATATGTCCAAAACCTGTCCAATAAATTGCACTAAATTGGCAACACAAAAAACTGCAACAAAAAGCAATGAAACAGTATATAATTATTTTCAAATTTATCTCATTTTTCTCTCCCAATTCACCCCCTCATTCTGCTACAAAAACAGGGGGCAACAGTACAAAACAGAGGAAGAGCTTTTGGTGAAACAAGGAGGAAACCAGAAAAAAATACATTTCATATAGAAACATCCACAAAGAGGATTCATATATCTAACAGAGTTCCATATTTCACAAGGAATAGAAACGAATAGAAGAAAAGTTAAGGGAGATTGAGTTTACCTTTGGATCGTCACCTTTAAGGACGTTCGGAACAAGTGTTCTTTAAATTTCTTTGCAACTTTATAGTTTGAAATGTTGCGTCATTATAGCCTAATTGTTGAGCCCCTTTGTCTGTGTTTTCCTTTGAATTTGTGAATATTGTTTGGACATTTCTCTTGTTTTATTCTTGTAATCACCAACAAAAAAGATTAAGAGAGTTAATTAGAAGAAGAGTTTCACACAAAACACCTCTAAAATCTCTGTTAACACACAAAATTAGCTGTCAAATTTCTACTTATTTCAAAAACTTACATCAATCACAAATTTACTATAATATACTAAAACATATACCTTAATCTCTGCACCAATCTTGTTTCCCCCAGTGTCTGTCTATTTCACCACCACGCTCTCTCTAAAATCAACACTATCACAACAGTAACATTCACAATTTTGACCTCAGATTGCACAACCTCACTAAACTCCATCGAATTCAATGTTGCCGCCTTTGTTTAACCTATTGTTTCTTTCTCACATCGCGTTGTTCCTCTTCTTCACCTCACATCTGATTCAAATTTAATTCACGAAATCCATCTCGGTGTCACTCATCCTCGCCCTCGCTTCATGTTCGTTCACTCAGCATAAGGCTTCAACCGAATCCAGTGATAAAACCAGAAAAGGCGTACGAGCAATATTTCCGGAGGAGATAGCTCGGACAACATTGATGATGATTTTTCTGCTACTAGTGCCAATTTTCAGGATGTTTGGTGAGGATCTAGAATCGATGTTGCTGCTTTTATTGTTGATGTTGTTTCAATGAAGTTTGTTTCTTCAAGAGCTAAGTTTGATTTGGAAAAGTGGACCCACAAAGAGATGATGGTGTTGATACGTACTTGAGGGACAAAGATGGTGTTGGTACTGAGAGAAGGAAGGACGGTTTGAAGAAGAGAGGTGAAGATTTGCGTTTTCTTTTTTACAGTAACATAGAGAAAAACAGATTTTTTTAAACAATAATAATGGTATATTTAATTTGTTTTCTTTGCCTTCCCCATATACTAATAATAATAATTGAAATTTTTTGGTCTTCCTTTCCCAACACAACAGCATGCGGCGCACCCTTTCCTTAGGGTTTTGAGATTTTGTTTTCTCTCTTCAAATTTAAATCGGGTCAGCCCATTGGGCTGTTGGCCCAATCCTCCTATCTGTTTTCCCTTTTGTTTTAATTAAATCATAACAATAACGAATGAACAGAACATCTCAGTTGGTAAGGCATTGTTTACAACACGAAGAGAACCCGGGTTCAACCCCTATTGGGGCCTTTTTTTTATATTTGTTTTCTATTTTCTTCATTCTATTTTTGTTAAACAAAAAACATGATTGGACTTTACAATTCCCTTCTAGCCCATCCGGATTTTTATCTCACGCCCCCATTTTCAGTTTAACACCACCCTTCTACTTTGTTTTGTTAGTTTGACTTTATTTGTTTTACTAATTTAATAACTCGTGAAATTTTGTAGCTTAGTTTTAAATTTTAATTTAAGAAAAAATTGTGAATAATTTTATTAATATTTTATCGTTTAGTTAACTTTCTTTTAAATTCTTTAGCTTCCACATGATGAAATTAAAAAAAATATAGAATAGATCTTTATTTTCTTTTTAAAATTTTCACAAACAAAATACCAAGAATTTTATTTCCATACTTTGTAAATTAATTTTTACTTCATAGATTGTTGTAGTTTTAATTAATGGTTCGATTCGATTTGGTTGTATTGATTGCCTATTTGGACTTTTAATCGCATTGATCCATCCCTATTTATAAATTTGTACCCCCATTCCCGAAAGCTCTGTAGTAGCGTAGAATTTTAATTTCTGCAATTTACCTTTTTCCTTATACTGTATAGTAATTAGGCGTGTATGGCAAGACATAAATATAACCGCTAGACAACCCTAATCAAAGACAAAATTAACTTGAATCGAACACACTTTTCACACGCGCACCTCTAGGGTAACCTCGCTTGTTGCCTCGGAAAAACAGTCATGTCCCTCGAATATGGGACACTTTAGCAAAGAACCTTCGATAAAAAAGATCGTAGTACCTCGATGTCCCTCGATGTTGCCTTCGGTAAAACGATCTAGTCTCTTATGAAAATTGCTAAAGCGTCTCACAAGTTGCCTTCTATGACTGTACGATTGACCCGCGCCTGTCCTTCACATCCAACGCTGGGGCTTCTTACCAAAACAATGGTAAGATAGCAACATCTAAAGGAGGAGGAAAAGAACATTAGACCTTTTTAGTAGGTAGGATGCTCCTAGTTGCTTGCTTGCTCACAACAAAAACATTTTATACACCAACACTTTCATCTTGAAACATTTTCAAAAGACAAAGCTTTTTGTACGCGTTATTATAGAGATGAGAACCATTACAAAGACACTTTTCAAAATCACTTTCAAAAACACATTCCACAAACACCTATTTGAACTATTTTCAAAACAAAACTTTGTACGCGTTCTTATAGAAACGAGAACCATTACAAAGACGTTTTCAAAATACTTTGAAAACCCACACCACAAGCACATTTTCATACAAAAGCAAGTGATCTAGAAAGCAAATAAGAGCACGTAGATAACTACGGATGAAAAGGGTTCTAACACCTTCCCTTCTCATAACCTATCCCCGAACTCAATAAATAATCTCAAAGGTCTTTCCTATTCTTTTCACCCTTTCCTTTATTGGATAAAAGAAAAGCTGCAACAATTGCGATCAAATGCAAAATAACCAAGTCAGTTCTCCCACCATATTACACACATTCTAATTGGAATCAAATTTGAATGTTAGGAGTTCTCTCGATATTTCAAGTTTGAATTTTAAATAGGGATGGAAAAACGGGCCCGACCCATTTTGCCCGCACTTTAGTGCAGAGCGGACTTACAATTTAGGCCCTCACTCTTTAATGTGTCCTCCCCGTCCCATTTTATTTGCAGGCTTTCGCGGGCACGAGTATGTATTAACATAAAATTTTGCGTTTTTAGGCTTAAAAGGTGTAGTGCACGTGGGCATTCCCCACCCGCACTCACTTTTTTATGGGGAAAACCTAGGTTTTAGACCCTCATCCTCAATTATGACCGCCCGTCCTGTCCTGTTTTTTGTGGGCTTTTGCAGGTCAGACATGCCCATTTTCCATACCTAATTTTAAAGGATTACAAAGTTTCACAATACTACATCAACAATCCGAATTCTTTGATTAATTTTAAATCACACCTTTCATGATACAAAAGGTAATGTTGTAGATTAGAAATTTAATTAAGATTTTCATTAAGAGTGCAAGATGATTGGATGAGAATTTGAGCCAAGGTTTCCATTCAAAATTCACACTTTCATTCATGTGAATTCAAGAGAGGTTACAAGACATTCCCATTACAAAATCATCACTATTATACTATTGTCTTTACATGGAAACGTTGCACACAAAAAACACAAAGAAACCTAACTCTAATTTTCAAGACTTTCATGTCTTCAATATCTTTCATCACTCCTTCATGAACAATCTTCCACAAGAGTCCAAAATTTGTCCATAAGAACACAAAAAAACAGGTCATGTAAGCTTGCTGTCCAAAACCATGCCACATTCATACAAGCAACCAAATAAGCCAGTCCAAGCCAACGGCTGCTCTGCTCCTGTCCATAAAAAAACAGTCCCTATCCATTGCTTCCCACAACCTGCATCAAAACCAGACAAAAATATCCCTGCACCACATACATCCAAAAGTTACACAAATACGGTAAGACACAAAACTGCATGAAGAAAGCTAAGACAAAGCATCATATTTTGTTCAAACTTATCAGATTCCCCTCTTAAAATTTCAATGGGTTCCATCTATAAATAAACAGCATTCAAGGCAGAGAAGGGGGAGAACAAAACATCAGACAGAGAACAAACCTGTATAACAAAATCCTTTGTCCAAAACTGTCCAAACACTACAACTTTAGCTTGTCATACCCCAATTTTTCTCCACGGTCATTCATTCATCACATTTGCATTATTAGTCAGTCATTCATGAATTTAGATTGACCAAATGTCAATTTAAGTAAATATTTGCATCATTTTAGAGTTAAAAAAAATACCTGTTAACTCACTTCATACATTTTTATCTCTTTACGCGCTTCTCATATTACTTCAAGTTATTTGTATATCGATAATATTGATATTTCAATTTTACAGAAAGATTGTTAAAAGTGATTTGACGCTGTGCGAAAAATTAACAATTTTTTTTTCATATTTTCACATTTAATTGACTGTTTTATGAATCTACGTTGCGCGTAGATCATGTTAGTATGCTCATTTTATTTTTCCGTACAGTTTGCAATTTCTTTTTTAACTGTCATTCATTCTGATGTCTATTTTCTTATTTTATTTCGATTTATTTAATTCAGAAAAAATTAAAGCAAAAATATTTTTACGCGTATTGAAAGAAGACCATCATAACATGGCCTTGAGCTAAACCAACACCATTCTTCAATTCTTCTTCAATTTCCTATGCATTTTCGTTAAATCCCCATCAATACTCCCTCTGTGCATCCGAGCTTCCTCACCCAACCAACATTCCGGCTTCCATCTTCACATCTCACGACCAATACCCACCCTTCTTCTTTTCGTTCATCCGCGGATCACCACCCGTTTGTTCTCCCTCCGACCGAACCATCATCATCATACTCTCTTGGCTTCTTCCACCGGCCACGACCCTGACAAATCCAGTGACCACTTCAACACCTCACAACATAGTCCAACTTCAATTCCTCCAACCTTCAATCAATTGGTAAGCATCACATTTTCTTTCATTTAACTTAATTTCTAGTTTAATGATTACAATTTTAATGAAGAAATTGATATTATTGTTGTTTGAATTTGTTTGAGATTAATTGACATAGTTGATGAATAATTGCTAGCGTTGATAATGTTGCTAAATTTGGTATTGACACTAATAAATTAAGGTTGAAGATGATGAATAGTGATATGAGTGTTGAATTTGTTTGGTTCTAATTGTTGAAGATTGGTATTAGATCGTTGAAATTATGGAGTTAATTGTTGGTTTTTGTGATGGTTGATGATGAGAATAATTTAGATTATTGAATTTAATTCTTGTTTAATGTTGACGTTGTTGCTTAATTTGGTATTGATACGAGTGAATTAATGTTGAAATTGACATTGTTGTTGGTGTTGTGAGTTTATTGGTAGGAAATTAGTAATGACATAGTTGTGGGTTTAGTGATGAATTGATAATGACATCATTGTTGAAGCTAATTGTTGTTTGAATTATTGGAATTATTGAGATAATTGATGGAGAATTGGTGACGTGATTTTTGTGTGGTTTATAATGATGAATCATTGAGATATTTGTTGAAGTGTGCATTGGATTCATGATTTATTTGTGTCAAAATTGGATTGAAGTTTGATGTCTATGCCATGTTACTTGTTTAATTTAAGAAGTATTGATAACATGATGGTTTATTTGAGTTGAAGTTTAAAGCAAGAAAGTTGGTTGTGATTTTGTTCTATTTCCATGTGTTTTGAGTTTATTTGAAATAGAATTATTGAACCTAATTGCATATGTGTTGTTGCTGTCCGGATATTGTTGTGCATGATTAAGGTTTGGTTTGAACTTGTTTTTCTTATGTTTTGAGTTGAATTGAGTAGTAACTTGAGTAACACTAGTTTAACTTAATTTTAAGGACATTAGGATGCTGGTTTGTTTTGATTGAGAAATTCAACAATGGCATTGCTTTGTTGTTTCTACTTGTGCTAAACATGTATGCGATTGAATTTTCCGAACTTCGTTTCATATGCGTAGTTGCTGTCCGGTTTTGTTTCGCATGACAAAAGCTTGTTTCAATCTTGTTCTCTCATGTCTTGAGTATCTTTTGAGTGCCAATTTGAGTCCATAACATGTATTGTCCGTTTACATGATTGAAATGTTTATTTTGAAGATGTGAAAACCATTTTAGCCTGTTTTGACTCATGAATTCTAATTCTTACTCTTTTCTTGAAAATCACTCAATCTTTGTTTACTTGACACTTGTGATGATTTGAGCTTTGTTCTTTTATGAGTGGAAGTTTTGTCCCTTAATTATGAAGTGCTTGAAGTTTGTTTTGGGAAACTTTCATGACATTTATAGTTGTAATTCATCTCTTACCATTTACTTTGTTAATTCTCATAATTGAATAATGTGTAGTTTTGAACCATGTTCTCCACTTTGCTATTTATTCAAATATGTATGATTTTCTTTTGTTGAGAATTAGTTGCTTATCCATTAATTTAAAAACAAACTTCATTTGTTTCATTTAGCTCTGATACATGGTTCTGACCCACTTTGGCTCGAGTTTTTGTTTCATGAGACATCTGATTTATTTCTCTGTTATCCTGGTTTTATCTGTTTGATTGGAGTTTCATCTGATGCAGGGATTCTTATCCGATATGTCGTGATCATCCGATGCTTTGAGCTTTATCTGATACCTTGGGTTAATCTAATGCACTTTCCTCGCTTGTGATTTATTTTCACTTGATACATTCTTTGCTTGTGATTTATTTTCACCTAATGCTTTGTATACTCGGTTTATTATTTGCTTGCGGCTTTAATCCAAAGGATGAGAATTATGTGTCAACTTCATTATGTCAAGTGTTGGCTTCTTGTTTGGTCATACATTCTTTACCTTAGCTTTTACTTTATGCTTTAGGATAGTCTCTTCATCTCCTCCCATTCTTCAATTTTCAAAACCTTCTCATCTTTTTCAAAACCTTCTTGTTTTCAATAAACTTGACCACTTTCATAATAAACCTTGACCTTGTGTTGTACCCCAAAATTTTCCCTCTCTTTTCTTCAAGACATTTCTTATAAAAAGTTCTCAAATGCTCAAGGATGCTCAAGAGTTGATCAAATAAGCTCACCTCATAAGCACTAGGTCCATAACTAGGGTTTTTGTTTTCTCAAGGAAAATTGGACTTCTAATGCCTCAAGTGAGTTTCATGGTTCATCATAAGTCTCCAAGGATACTCATACCAAATTTCAAGTCTTGCATCACAAAATTGCTCAGATGATGGAAAATCAACTGTATTGGGAAAAAAGTCAATTATGGTCAATATACAGGAAAACTTCAGATTTTTGTCAACATCAACATTTTGAATTGATATTCACCATTTGACCAAGGGTTGGTCATAATTCCTCAAGGAAAGCACTCAAATCATCAAAGAGGCAAAATTGTCAAAATTAGGATTTTGACTGAGAATGACTGATCCATGACTTTTGACCTGGTACATGATCTAATGACTTGAAGCATGATCTTAAGGAATCAAACACAATATCTTAACCTAATTTCATGGCTCAAATCATTTATAATGATCAAGGGATTGATAGCTGAAATTTGGATCAATTGATGAAAAGTCAACAGTCACACAAAAAGTCAAACTTTGACTTTTTGGTCAACATTGAATTTCAAAGATAAAATATCATCAAGGCACTCAAAAATTTCAAACTTGATCATCAAGAATCAAGAAAAGTCAATAAAAAGTCAAGATTTCCAATACTTAGAAAAAATTCTAAGTGTTTTGACCTTGATAAATTCACTACTTCATGACCATTTTTCACTAAGATGCAAGATGATTCAAGGAAAACTTTCTACATGAAAGTTGTAGAGTATGATGAATTCTACAACTTTTTCCTTGAGGGTTAATGTCCAAAAAATGCTTGGATTAGGAGATATAGGCCAATGAAGTCATGACTTTTTTATCGAAACACTTAGAGAAATTTTCAACAAGTTTGGTCAGATTTTTATCCCAACTTCTTAGTCAATTTTCACCAAGTTCCAAGTTAATTTAGCCAAAGTGGTCAACATGAAAGTTGTAGACAATGTTTCAAAATTTTCAAAATGTCCAAGAACTTGAAAAGATCATTTTTGAGCTAGGAGATTTGAAGACTTGAAGTTGGCATGATAAACTTGAATTACAAGTCATTTTGGTGAAGAACACATAATCCAATCTTCATGCTATGCTGCATAATATTGCTCTGCATGCCTTCTAACTTGCAAATCACTCTATAATTTAATGTTTACACAATTGATTGAGCCATTATCCAAGTGTTTGAGCCATTGTCAAAGACAATTTTCCATTTTTGGCACAAAGTTACCATTTCCATTCTTGTAAAGCATACTTTATCATAAAATCCACTCTCCTTGAGCCTCTAACCTGTTCCCTCTTCACACACTCCATCCAAAAGCCAAAAGCAACATGTTTAAAGCTCTAATCGCTCTAGATTGCCTTGTACTTAACATTGGAACCATGTTCTTATGGTTTGCTTCATTTACAATCCAACCAAACCATAACCCTATAACTTGCGAACCTGATGTTCTCCTTCCCTCCAGCCTTTCCCTATAAATAAAAGATCCTTTTGCAATCCAGAACAGGAGTTCACAAGCCCTCTAACTCTCTCAAACTCCCTGAAATCTGAATTTGCACACAAATCCTCCATTGTTGCAACTTCTGACCTTAAACTTCAAACACCTAATCCACTCGTGCGTTTTCATTCTAAACCATTCACAAAGCTTCTATAACTCATATATAACCTATCCAAATCCCCGCTTCATCACTGTAACACCATCTTCATCATCCTTCATTTTCAAAAACAACACCCTGCAACTTGACTTCTCCAGAAGAATCCAGGCACTCTCAATCCAAAGTAGGCATTGCAATAGCTTCCTGTGAGTTCAGTGAAGCTATCCAGATTATCACAACATCTCCAGGAGTGCTCCAACTTCAAACACGATTCTCACTTTTGAGGTAAGTTTTCTAAATTTTGAACTCTCTGTACAAGCATCATTAATGTTTACTTTCTGAATAAAAAATATAAACATCATTGCCATGAAGCTAACAATGTGCTTACATTTCATTTATCATGCCTGAGTGATGAGAATTTTGGATTTGAAGTTTCAGAAAAATTAGGGTTCAACTTGGTACCAACAGAATTCATGTTCATCTTTGAGTGTTAGCTTAATTTATTTACATGGCTGAATTCGTGTTGAGATTTAGAACAAGTTTGGTGTTTACAGTTTTTGAAATGATTGAGAAATGAAGGAGTTAGCATTTTATAATTTTTTGTTGTTGTTGTTGTTGCTGGCTGCACGAAGAAGATGAAGTTGCATCTTCAAACATTCAGAGACAAGTTTATAATATATTTAATAGTTTGTGTTTAAACTACCGGATGTATCACCACCCCAGTGGTTAAAGCGCGCGCCTGTTTACCTTAGGGGCTTGGGTTTGAATCCCAGCGACACCCTTTTAATTTTCACATATTTGTTTTTTTGAGATCATGTGCAGACCATTCCAAAGCGCGTACCATGCGTCTCTTACCATCACCATCTGATTTCCCCACGGATAGATCCAACGTCCCAGATGAACAAACACATGATGCACTTTCAAAAAGCCAACCACACTGGAATCTCAATCAGGCGCATGGGCCTCCTTAACTTGGGCCTTTTTTTTTAAAACTTTTTTATACTCCCCCATTTTCTCATAACACATGCCCACTCTTTTATTTATTTTTATTTTTCAGTTTCAAACAAAAAAACTTATTCTGGCCAGGATATTTTCACTTCTTTCTCACCCCATTTTGCTTACACTACTGGCCCATTTCAATTTTCTTTATCTTATTTTAATTAATATTTTTTTATCAACAAAAAAATCATAAAAATGATGAAAAATTAGATTTAGGTTTTTTATCCATTAATTTAATTTTTGACAAAATAAAATAAAATTAATTCCTTTGATTTTAATTAATTAGAATTAGGGTTTGTATTATAAAATTTCTTTTCCAAATAAAAACACCAAAAACATTTTCTAATTTATTTAGATTTCTTTAGGTTTTACTTTAATTAATTTAATTTTGACAATAAGATTTTATTTAATCACATTTTATTTTCTTATAAATAATTAATTTGTAAAATTGAATTAGGTCTAATTTTTTACCTCATATTGCAAATATTTTCTAAACAAAGAAACAACAAATTATTTTCTCAAATACTTAGAATTTTTAGGGTTTCTTAAAACATCTTTCTATCTCCGCGCGTTTGTTTATTTTTCACATCATTATTTTCATAGTTGTGTAATTTCTTATGGATTGTAATAGTTTAACTAGGGTTTATTGCTTTCCTTCCACATTCACAAATTTCTACCTCCATTCCTGAAGCGTTGTAATAGCGTAGGACATTTAATTTCTGCAATTTACCACTTTCCTTATTACTGTTAGTTTAATAGGATTGTATGGCAAGATTTAAAACAAAATATTAGAAAACCATAAATCAAAAATAAATTAACTGAAATCAAAACACTTCGCACACATGCACCTCTAGGGTTACCCTCACTTGTTGCCTCAAATATAAACAATCATGTCCCTCGAACGTGGATTGTTTTAGCCAAGACCCTCGATTAAAAAAGATCGTAGTCCCTCGATGATCCTTCGATGTTGCCTTCGGTAAACGATCTTAGTCCCTTACGACAATTGCTAAAGCATCATACAAGTTGCCTTCTATGACTGTACGATGACCCACGCCTGTCCCTCACATCCAATGATATGGCTTCCTACTAACTAATGGTAGGATAACACTATTTAAAGGAGGAGGAAAATAACAAAGACTTATTGAGTAGGTTGATCGCTCGTAATCGCTTTCTCACAAACTAAAACAATTTTCACACTTCACACTTTCAAAACACTTTTCAAAATAAATATTTTGTGTACATTCTCAACGATACGAGAATCATTACAAAATTGTCTTACATTGGAATTTTCAAAACCTCTTTTCAAACACTCTCTTTCGACAAATATTTTCAAAACAAACATTTTGTATACATTCTCAACGATACGAGAATCACTACAAAAATTGCCGCACTTAGGCATTTTTCAAAATATTTGCAAACAAACACAAACACAAAGCATTTCAAGAAGTGATCATGCAATTAAGAACCCGTAGTAACTACGGATGAAAAGGGTGTTAACACCTTCCCTTTTCATAACCTACTCCCCGAACTCAAGAAAATTCTCAAAAGGTCGTTCCTGTTCTTTTCACCCTTTCCTTTATTGAATAAAAGAAAAGTCAGTGGTGACTCTTACTATCCGCAACATTTACGATAAAAAAAGAAAACCCAAAAGTCAGTTCTCCCACCGTTTACACCTCGTCAAGTGACTTTTTAAACTTCTTTTCTTAATAAATGCTAAACTACATAAGCATGTCAAAACACTTTCAAAAATACTAAAAAACATTCAACCTCATTCAAACCTTTTTGGGCCCTCGTGCACCTTACCCCTTTAAACCTTTTTCAAGATTAGACATGAGTCATTTATAGTCGAGATGTCATTCTCATATTCCCATGGTTGTAAAGATGTCAACATTTACACTTGAGTACTAGAGGCGTTTCAAAAACCTTCCTCATGTTGGTGCGTTTTCCCTCTTTCTT